AGGAACTCGTTTTGAGAGTGTGGAAGCAATAAAGCTAAAATCGCTGGAGGCACTAATGGCTATACCAAAAACCGACTTCCAGAAAAGCTTCGAGGGGTGGATCAAACGCTGGCACAAGTGCATCGCAGCCGACGGGGTCTACTTTGAAAGGGACAACTTGAATTTTGAAGAATAAACATGTACTTTTCTTTTTATGAATAAATTCCGGTTATTTTTTGATCATGGTAGTAATAACACAGCCACACAAAAAAAAAGTTCTGGCCTGGGGGTCAAACCATGTTTACTATATGTTTTTGGGGTCGCTGAATCCGAATCCAAAGTCCATTTAACCCTATCATATCAGGTTTTGGACATAACCTCAAAAAACCTATAATTCAAGCCCAATTAGCCAGTTATACCAAATATATTAAACCAATTAACTCTATAACCTCTCAACTCCATAACTCTAAACCTCTTAACCCGTTAATCCTTTGACTTCAAATTCCAATAACCCTATAACCTCGTAAACCCATAACCTTATATTGTATGCTCAGAAAACAAATGTGGAACCGTCGGCATTAGCGTTACCCAATATACACCACGAGGAGGTTGTACGAACGGATTTTGTACATCATATAGCCTTTATAAGAGCTATTTTAAAGGTAAACTGATGAATAAATAAATAAATAAATAACAAATAACAAATAACAGATATATAAAATTTTAGTCATTCTCTTTTTTCGAACTATAACGGGTTCTGTTTTGATCGAAAGATTTGTGCAATGGGTTCCGTTTGCGTTTTCTAGCATCTTTCTGTGTGTCTCTCTTTAGCATCCAGCAGAAATCTGCCATCATATTTTCGTCCCATCTTCCTTGGTAACGAGTTTCCATCACATCGATATCCTGGTGACATCGTTCGCCCTGCTCTTCGCTAAAGTCTCCAAGATTGTCAGGAAATATTTCAAGGTGGGAGTGCAAAAAATGTAATTTTAAATTCATTAGACATCCAAGCGTTCGAAAGTCTCTAATCATTTTTGCAACGATTTGTTTATATTCATGACTTTTTGTATTTCCCAAAAAGTTCTGGGCTACTGCTTTGAAACTAAGCCAGGCTTCTTTTTCCAATCGATTCATTGTACTAACGAAAGTAGTATCTCTAAACATAGTTCTGATTTGTGGTCCATCAAATACGCCGTGATCCAGGGACTCAGCCGGATAACGGAATTGCTCCGTTGCCCGCCGTCACCGCGTGGAGGTGCCCTGGATGCAGACACAGATGAGACACTACTTTGGATATGGAGATAGCTCGGGAAAATAAACAACAACATGTGTGGAAATATCCTCGCTATGTAGATCATTTATTTTGTTGGGATAATACAAAATAGTTCAATACACTGGTCTTCAAGTCAAAAATGACTGATCTTGTGCGAGATGAGTCTTGTGGAAATGCTGGGCCATGATAGGTTATGGTATGAGAGTTATAATGTTATTGGAATTTAAGGTTAAGGGGTTATGGGGTTTAAGAATTAAGGGGTTATAGAGTTAATTAGTTTAATATATTTGGTATAACTGGCTAATTGGGCTTGCATTATAGGTTTTTTGAGGTTATGTCCAAAACCTGATGTGATAGGGTTAAATAGACTTCGGATTCGGTTTCAGCGACCCCATAAACATATAGTAAACATGGTTTGACCCCCAGGCCAGAACATTTTTTTTGTGTGGCTGTGTAATTTTGAAACAATTTTAAAACGTAATTATAATTTTGAACGAATCTTACCAAGTAAAATTTTCCTTGAATCTGTTCAAAGCATCTTCTTTTTTGCTGAAACTATTTCGTCGTTGTGTTAAGTTTTTTCAACTTCCAATGTACTTCCATCAATTTGCATTTCTATTTTTCTTTATTTTTTTATACACGTTCTTTTTTTCTGATTCGCATTTCACATCCCTGAAATTATTCTCTTGAATTGTGATTTCTCGGCTTTTGATGAATAACAACTTAAGTTACTGCAAACACACACTTTATTTATTAATAAAACTATTGAATTCAAATAAAATTATTCAGATAAATTGAAGCTTCTTCTTGTACGCCCAAGTAGCTCGATTGAAATTCCGATTATCTGCCGCCCAATTATCTGAACTTCGAAAACAACGCGTTGCTATCCGCTATTCTGTGTGTCTCTCGTCAATTGATCTAACTGTCATTATATCCTACCGTGTAATGACGCAAAATATATTTTGCAACACAAAAAGTTAAAATCATAACACAATATTACTGAAACATAAAGACATATAACAAACTAGTTGTGCGTAAAGTATCACTTATGCGGCATACAACTTGGAGCTCTACATTATAAAATTGATGGTATGCAATATTAATACCCAGTCAACAATTCATTTAGTTATAA